TTTTTTTTTTTTTTTAAGAGAGAAATTTTCTAAATTTTTGGACAATATCATCTGATAAAGAGTACATTGATATACACGTTTAAACCAGAATGATTTGACATTTAAATCTTTAATAGTAATGCTAACAGAGGTTTAGACTCGGACACTCCTGACTTGAAGGCTCCCAATTAGTGCTCATTACCCTAAAGTAGGTGTTGATAGAGTTTCCTCATTTAGGTTAATCAGTTACATTCTGGCAAGTCACTGAAAGCAGGGTTGATTAGGGATTACATAATCCTGTGTTGCATCCTTCAGCTGCAGCCAGGTAAGCTTAGGTCGGCTGCAACCCGCGCTAAATCCGCCGCTCTCCACCTAAGCAAAGCCCTCCAGTGTTCAGGCCTACGCCTGCCTTCAATCATCTGACATTCCTGGGAAGAGCAGACAGCAACCCAGAGTGGAAATTTGACTCGTATTGTTTGGAAAGTTAATCATCCAGCACATCTCGGTCTGTGTTAAGCTGCTGCATCACCTTCAGGCACCTTTTGTCTCTTTACTGGCCTCCTCCGTGTTGTCATAAGCATGTGACACCTGTCCCAGAGCAAACACCAGAGATAACACCGCTAAGCCAGCCTTTTCCCTGAGGCGCCACGTTATTATAACAAACACCTCTTCAAAGAAGCTGAAGCCTCCAAACCTTTGAATTATTAGTTTTGTTGGAGTATTTTAGATTCAGAAATGTTTATACAGATTTTTCTCTATGATGCAAGAAAACATTTAGTTCAATGTTGAGTTTGCAGATTTGTTTTCAATAAATGGCTGACACAAAAGCGGAACCAGAAGTGATTTATAAATGTGCCATATTAACGGGATAGTGGTGGATTCCCATCAATATGCCGTATGGACTACTTGGGCATTAATTTCATTTTATAACTTTTTTTCGTGACCTATCGCTTGTTTAAATGCTGAATCGCTTCACAGAGACATGTTTTTTTTTATGTGTACTTACAAAGACATGAGGTAAGGATGGATGTTATTGGTATAGATCCACAGGAAGTGATAAATGTAAATTCAGGAAGAGTAAACAATTTTTCTGTCTAAATAACTAACATTTGATTATATTAGTCTAATATGTGCACATGGTATTTATTTATTGTCTCTAAATGAAAATGTATGTAAATCTTACCGGATATGAAGGCTTTCTTACAAAAATATAACAAATATTTTTATTTAGATGTAATAAATATCAGTAGTTATCTATAGTTTATTTGCGGAACATTGCTTAATTAAAAACTTGTTGTTTTTATTTGAGGTTTTAATGGTCTAAGAACAAATATATAGGGCAGTGGATCTACTATGGCTTTAGGATTTCAATTATTCTACCTTTACATTAAATCTCAAGGAAAATCCCAATAGGTGTGTCCGAACGTCCATCCTAACCCCTAAATCCCTCAATCACTATATATAGAAGGGACTATATAGTGGACTTTATAGTGAACTCAGTTAACTGACCGTTCAGATAGATGATCATTGGTATTTGCTCTACGTTGGTCATGTGATTCCGGCTCCCTGCATGGTGCATGTGCCATCTTAGTTCTCTCTTGCCCCCCCAAAAAACCCCATGATGCTTTGCAAGGAGAGCTCTCGCTAAGCATTCTGAGATATATCTGCTTGTGTAGTTACCATGAATGCACGCTACTTTTCAAGGTGCATTGTGAGAAATTTCGAAATTTTGAGTCCCCTACTTTTTCATGTCCTAGATATCCGGACTCAATATAGTGCTCCATATAGGGGTACGGGTGGATGTTCGGACATAGCCAAAATTTTGTAAGGAATGCCATCAGATGCCTAAATTATGTGAGAACATTTTTATATTTTTTTTGCATTTAGCTGATGTTTGATCCAAAATGACCTAAAATATAAGGACATAGTTTAATAATTTACCTCTTTTGTTAAATTTATTTCATGTGATGATGTTTGATTCTAAAAGTCGTAGGGAAGCCATATTTGAATTTTAAATAATTCTGACTTAAACGTGTTTATAAATGTGCTCTTTATCAGACTATATTGTCCCAAAAGTTATAAAATTTCTATTTTAAAAGCATT